ACCAAGTAGAGTTTGGTCAGTGTCTGATAATTATCATATTACATATTAAATATTATAATATGTAAAGTTTCATATCTATGGTTACTTTTAAATACCTTGCGACTCGTTTTAGCTCTGTCCAATCTTCTTCATTAGGGTGCTGGTTTTTTGACTAAGAATGTTAACAGCTGCAGTGATATCTGGTCTCGAGTTTAATGATATATACAATTCTGATAGCTTTTATTATTATGTAAAACGTTTTGTTTTATACCAGATTTGCCATAAGAGACTTCTATGGACGAATCTTGAAGTCCATTATCATTTAATACCTTTTCAATATATTTTGATTGAGAAATTGAATAAAATCCGTTTTTTGACCGGAATATTTGTAGACCCAGATAAAGTTTTACTGGTCCTAAATCACGAATTTTAAATTCATTTTGAAAAATATTTTTTGCCTCATTGATCTTTATTTCCTTGTTTGAAGAAATAAGAATATCGTCGACGTAGATCAACACGAATGTCATTTCTACCCCTTCTGAATGTATATACAAACATGGATCCAAATTGCTTTGATGAAAATTTGACCTTATGTTGTAAGTCCATACACGGATTTTTTAAGTAAACATACCTTTTCTTCACCACAGTCCACAGTAAATCCCTTTGGTTGCTCCATAAAAATTTCTTCTGCAGGTCACTGTTAAGAAAAGAAAGAAATACATCAATATGATGTATTTGAAGATTTCGTTTGCCACCAATTGCGAAAAGTGTTCTTAATGAAGTGTGCGAAACGACTGGAGCGAAAATTTCATCATAATCTGTACCATACTTTTGTGAGAACCCTCTTGCTACTAGCCTTGCTTTGTACTGCATACCTTTATTGTCCTGCTTTTTCTTAAAAATCCATCTACATCCGATAATGTTACGGTCTTTTGGTTTCGGTACAAGTTCCCAGGTATTATTAACTTTCATAGAATCAATTTCGTTTTTCATAGCTGCGACCCAATTCTCACGTTCATCATATGTTATTGCTTTTTCATACGTTATAGGGACGTCGCACTTAAAAATCGTTCTGGAACTTTACCTTTTGTTGAGCGTTGTCACCTTCTCAAGGCTGAATCAATTTGTTGATTATCTTCAATGTCATTGCTGGATTCATCTGAACTTGATGTTTCATTAAAACTTAGAGTGTCGTGGAACTCATCATCGCTGTTATTGATTTCCTTTACAGGGCTCTGTCTTTTTGTGATTATCTCAATTTAATTATTCCAATCTGGATTATTCGTATAGTCCACAAGACCATCTTTTTTGCCGGTAAACTTTACATCTCTTGATACTTGCACTTTAAAATCTTTATCCATCATACGATATGCTTTAGAATTTTGATCATATCCAACGGAAATAATTTTTGTAGATTTTTCGCATAATTTATTTACTTTAGGTATATGAACAAAACCTGTTTCACCAAATATTCTTAAATGCTTTAAATCCGGGATTTTACTATAAACTCTTTCATATGGCGTAACACCGGTTGTTCTAGTCACAATTCTATTTTGAAGGTAATTAGCGGTAGACACAGCATCACCCCATAGTTCTTTTGGTAATTTTGCTTCAACGAGCATGCATCTAACCATTTCAAAAAGAGAACGATTTTTGCGTTCTGCGACGCCGTTTTGTTCGGGACTGTAACCAGCAGTGTACTGTATTTGAATACCTTCACGTTCTAAAAAATATTATTATTTCTTTATTTACGTATTCTTTTCCACGGTCTGACCGGATTGTTTTAGGTTTCTTTCCAAAATTATTCATTATTAATGCAATATAATTTTTTAATTTCTCAGCTAATTCCCATTTGTTTTTAATTAGGTATATATTGCAAAACCTACTGTAGTCGTCTATAAAGGTTAGTATATATCGGTTACCACTGTGTGTACATGTTTCAATGGGTACACATAAATCTGTGTGGATTAATACGAAAGTATCTTTTGAACTTACCCCAGTTTTGTTTGGAAATGGTGCTCGAGAGGATTTTCCAGCTGGGCAAACTTCACAACAGTCAATATTACCACATGGCTTTACCTTAAAACCTGTTGCCAATTGCTTTGAGTTTACAGTTCTTATGGCGTCTGTATGTCTATGGCCCAAAACTTTATGCCAATAGTGAATACAGTTATTTGTACACACATTCAGAATATTTAATCGCTCTTCAACTTTAGTTAGTTAGTTAGTTAGTTTGAAAGGAGGATGTATATACATCAAATCCGAAGAAATACACCTAGGCCTCTATAGGGCCTGTTGTGCGCTCCTTAACCAGTGCCTCAGGTGGGAATCGAACCCACCACCTCCGCTCTACCAGACTAGAACACTAACCACTAACCTACCGCAGGCCACGCTCTTCAACTTTACTTATATATAAACCTGCAAGGAAAACCATTTCACCGTCTTTACGTACAACGCATTTAACTTATCAAAATCAACTTGGCATCCTTTTTCTGTTAGCCGTTTTACAGATATTATATTTAAGCTTACTCTAGGTGCATATAAAACATTTTCGAAAGTTATGAGGTTGTATTCATTGCCATTAGTTTTAAGTTTGACTTGTATTGTTCCTTCTCCACCAGATATCACTGTGTCATCATTCGCAAGATATATTGGTTTTCTTATATTTGTGTTCAGATTTATAAATACTTTTTTATTGTTGCAGATGTGGCATGACGCTCCGGAGTTAACTATCCATTTTCCAAAGCCATCTGTTGTCACGAAACAAGAATTGCCTTTTACTGTTACTAAACAAAAATTAGCACCACCGGCTGTGTTGACATGCTGTTGTTGTTGTTTCCTTTTCCACTCAATATAGCGTGTACAATTTTTCTTGAAATTCCCCTTTTTGAGACAAAAATAACATTCAATGCTGGATTTACTATCTTTGTTTTAATAACCATTGCCTTTTGTGTGTCAACTTTACTCCTTGCGCCCTCTTCTATTAATTTAGATTCTACATATGCAATTGTTAACTCTTCCTCTGTACGAGACTCAAACTCTGTGATCAAATTATTATAACTGGTTGGTAAACTGCTCAGAAGCATTGCGATGTTCCATTTTTCATCAAAAGCATTTTCGCCTAGATTGTGTAGTTTTAAGAATAGATCCCGCATTAAACCAATGTGAGCCTTGATATCATTGTTTTCATCCAGCTTCTTATTACTTTGTTGCTTAAAGTTTTCCGTTCGTGATAATTTTGTAGACTTTGTCATATTTTAGCTCCGTAGAACATTGCCTTATTAGATGTAACTGGTCATCTTCCACAGATAATGATATTATTGCTCTGGCGATGTTATCACTTTTTACCCAATTATCTGCGTTATTTTCTGGTTTTTCATTATTTAATACATCCCAGACGCCTTCCTTTATCAGCAGCATCTCTACCTTAAACTTCCAGTTAAAGTAATTTTCTCCATTTAGTTTAGCCACTGATGTTTTAATTTCTGTCGTCATTTTCCGTAAATTTTATTTAGTAACGATCTAAAAATACTTTAATTAAGGTGCCTGGGCCCATAACCTATAGAAAAACACTTGGATGCTTTATTTTTATTTAGAATATAAATCACTCTTTATTTTATGAACTTATCTTAACAGAGTTTAAACCGGAAGAGAGTGAGTTTAAAAAGGAGTGCAAAATTACATGATGATAAATGTCAAAGAAAAGTGATAAAGAAAGACATATGTTTTACAGTATAACAATTTTGAATGACAATTAAATAAATATTTGTTTAAGTAAATGTAAATATTTCAATAGTATCCAATTCAAAATTAATTATTATTTTTGAAATAAAATCAAAGAAAGGATAGATTTCATGTTAAGTCAAATATTGGTAAATTCTTATAGGTATACTAACTAAAATATCTAAAACTACTAAAATATCTAAAAACTGTTATTTTAATCTATAGGAGTAAGAAAAATATAAAATTGTATTAAACAATACAGCAATATTAAAAAATTAACAAAAAACCCAAAGTACATAATTGATTTATACATATGATTTTTTAAAGTTTTTTTATTGATTTGCAAGCTAATTTCGCTTATTAGTTCTGCACCTGAAAAGGAACTTTGTCTTTGTTAAGTCTAATTTTGTTCCATCTGATCTAAAATTAATTAGTAAAAAGTTTTAACCCAATCGGATAATGATAATTTGTGGAAGAATTCGATTATCATAGAATTGGGTAAAATTTATCACCTTTTTTCCTTTTAACAAAAATTATTTGTACTGATTTTTCTCGTGTTTTACATTTGTTACTTTCTATATGTCATCTAAATTTCATTAAATTCGATTCAGCTGTTTCGAAGAAATTGCATCACTAAAAGTACAAAAAAATATTTCCTGTGCATTTGTATTTGCACCAAATATTAATATTTGTGAATTTAAAGTATAACTTTCCACAAATATACACATACATTTTCCTTAATTTTAATATTGGTATACTTTAAATATTACTGAGTTATAACAATATATACAAAAGGTACCAAAAAGGTTGACTTTAAAAAATTACTTCACAATGTGATTTGTGATATTCTTAAGCTAAATGTCAAATTTCATTGACTTTGAACAATTCAAAAAGGTCTGAAAATATTACCACAATAACTTATAATTACCCGCTTTTTTATGGAGTCTATTAAAATATTAATAATTATATTTTTGTATCTATCGAAAATTTTATACAACAAACACGGCATTCCCATTAAATAAAAAATATTTTCTCTTAGAATTTAGTGCCTAAAATACTAATTATGCCCGTTTTCCCCACTTTAGGACCCCTTCTGGTCCTACTTTCGGTGCTACTAAAATTAATATAGCCTATTGATGCTTTCAGACATATTTCTATCTAAGTTCTAGATTTCAACAAACAAATAAATATAATCTTACATAGAAATTTATAATTTATAATATATATTAGGATTAACTAATTAGATTATTAATTGGCATTTAATTAATGCCTAACCTTATACATAATATATTTTTTAGTATCCTGAGCCAATTTCAAAATTAGAGTATATACCTGGCTTTGCCGTTCGTGGTCTTCATTATGACATTGAAAAAGGTCTGCTCCTTAAATTGGATTCATTTCTTCAAATACAGTTGGGTTCGGTATATAGAGGAAGGACAAAGGTTCCCGATCAAGAAGTACTGAAATTGTACAAAAATCGCATTCTACCAATTGCATACGTCGAAGGAACTTCAAAAAATTATCAGGTAAATTGTGTAACAAAAGTAATATATTTAAAAATATTTAATTTAATTTGTTTAATTTGAGTTAAGCCAAATGTTAAATCGAAGATGGTGCAGTTGGCAGATTTGTTCTCGGTGCCTGAAATGTGTCTTTTGTGCAATGTTGCTGAATATTTTGAGAAAAATCACATTGATTACCATCCAGAAATATTATTTCACGATATAAAGTCTGCCGTACAAGCTTGCCATCCAATAATGCATCAAATTGTTATGAAAAATGCTGAGGAGTACATTGAAAAAAACGAAAATTTACCAAAATATTTTGAAAAGTTACAAAAGGCGGATAAAAAGTTGTTTTTAGTAACCAATAGTCCATATTCTTTTGTGTAAGTAAAGTCTTAAAAATTGCGTTTTTAACAAATTGTCAAAATAAATTAATAAATATGCAGTTTTATGCAATAAATATTTAGTTATAACTATTGAAATTTTATTTTCATAATACTATATTTTACCAGAAATCGTGGCATGACCTTATTGGCTGGCAAAGACTGGCGTGAATATTTTGATGTGATAATTGTACAAGCTCGGAAACCAAAATTTTTCACCGATGAATCTCGTCCTATTCGTTTGTATGAAGAAAGCAATGACAGCCATGTATGGGATAGGGTATCAAAGCTGGAAAAAGGACAAATTTACTATGAGGTCAGATTCAAAGATATGTTTAAAGTGCATATAATCAATTTACATATATTTTTAGGGCACTGTAAAACAATTGCAAGATTTAACGGGTTGGCACGGTCATAGTGTCTTGTATTTTGGTGATCATCCTTATAGTGATTTGGCTGATGTTACGTTAGAACACGGCTGGCGAACGGGTGCAATTATAAGCGAATTATCGGTGAGTGTCACTTTGTTAGTTTTCAATGCTTAAATCTGGAGGTCCACACTACGCGTTTTCGCGTCAAAGCATTGCGTGCTTTTCTTACCTACTTCGCATTCTACGCTTCATACAAGTTACATACGACGCTTTTTAAGCATCAATTTTTTGTTTTATTTAAAAATAATCGCGATTTTCTACAGCTGTTGTTTATTTTTTCACCGAGTTTAATACTCGTTTCAATTTATTAAAATTTATAAATACACATTAAAAAAAGAATATAAATTGTCAAAATCAGCTGACATATTCATGTGCCGCTTATAAAAGTAGAAAGTAGATCTACTTTAAGCATTATATGCGTCAAGGCATTCTACGCTTTTGTACTTGTAACTTGCAGCATATAAATACATTGATTCTACTTTTTTGAATGCTTAAATGATATTGTTAAGTAATATGTAAATTTGGCCTGCCTATTTCAGTCGTTACACAGTGGGTTTGATGGCACCTAAAGTGGCGATTAAATCTGGGGAGCCGTAATTTTAATATGCTTTAATATTATTTTAAAAAATCAGTAAAAATACATTAAAAGACATTTTTTGACAAAAAAATGTATAGTAATTTTAATACCCTTCACTTCAAATCAGTAAAAAACGAGAAAAGCAAATATCCGAGACAACCACTGAAAGTCTCAACAAATAACGAGAATATTTTGCATGTAGAAGAAGAAGCATAAATTTAATTTTTATTTAGATTTTGCGACGGCAACATAATTTTTTTTACCGCATAGTGATAAAAAAATGTATGAAAAAATTTTATGCGTTATGTGTCTACACTGTTACACATACAATGTTTACCATTGTTATAAATGCAATTTTTGTTATAAAAAAGAATTATTTATTTTTTGAAATTATTTTTTTATTAATGAAAAATTGTTTTATTAAAAAACTAGATATTTTTCTTTATATATTTCAAGTAAAATTTGGTACTGTGCCTGTAAATAAAATCGAATATGATTTGTTTTCATCCATATTTCATTTACCTTGCGGCAAAAACTAAATAAAAATGAATTTATGCTTCTTCTTCTGCTTGAATTTCAGTTGAAAATCAAAAGTGTTTTGATTTTCATCAAACAGTGGGTGTGAGTTTTTTTTTCACTAACACAATCAAAAAAATTCCTGTGTGTGTAAATTTGTTTGATCATTGCCATCACCCTTAATATATGTAATAAATGTTAAACATATAACAAAACAAGTAGCATCATAAATGATTTAAATGATTTACTTTTCAATTTATTCGTTATTTGTTTTTTATATATACATTTTTATTTTCTTAATAACTATATTTAAAATAAGCTTGTTTAACCTACGGATATAAGGCAAAATTTAGGTAATATTGTAAGTGATAATAGTTTTCTCCATACCATTTGAATCAATACAAACAGAACCTTAACTTTGGACATTTAAATTGCACAAGCTTTAATTTAATTCTTCTAAGTTTAGTGAAATAAAGAAAATATTAGATGGTGAATTTTTAAATGTAGTCGGTTTCACTGAGACATGGTTGAAGGAGGAAATATCCTCTAATGCAATAAATATTCCTGGATATGTGTCACAGAAATGACAGGCAAAGTGGTAGAGGTGGTGGTGTTATTCTCTATGTTTCTAAATTTATTGAACATAGAGTTGTATTTGTTGGTAATGGTTATGGAATTGCAGAATGCTTGTTTATTGAACTTAATGTTAGGAATATTAAAGTTTTGGTGGGTGTTGTTTATCTTCCTCGCGAGGACTTTTTGCATTTAGAAGGACAGATATCAGAGCTACTTGTAAGATATTCGAATATTGTGATAATGGGTGATTTCAATAATAACTTTTTTGAACATATCACTAGTATTAGAGTGAGAGATATTTGCAGTAGACTTAATCTTTTTCTCATTCATAATTCTATACCTACACATTTTTTTCATATTTCCAGTTCATTGCTGGATTATTTTTTAGTATCTTCCACTGAATTAGTTAAAACTTCTGGTCAGTTCCAGTGTCCTGGTATTACTAGACATTCTTTTATTTTTATCTCTGTTACAATTTTAGAGCCTTCTGCTAAAAAATTTTATGAATACTATGATTATAATGCAGTTGATATTGGGTTGTTGCAGTCTACAGTGCTTGAATGCAATCTTGATGATATGTTCTTGACAGACAATGTGGATAATCAGTTAGAAATTTTAAATAGAAGTTTGCAGTTTTTACATACCTTAGTTCCAATGCGAAAACGTTTTACTAGCAACTGTAATGAATAAACAGTGGCAGTGTTTTAAATTTTTCTGACTATCGAAGCAATGGTTTTTCCTTCCATAATATTGATGTTTCTGAAATGTTTACAGTTTTTAATTTGATTACGTCTAGGGCTGTTGGTTGTGATGGGTTTACGCTGAAGTTTATAGGACTCTTGATGCCATTTATTGGTAATTATGTCCTGCATTTGGTTAATACTATATTGACTACTTCGTATTTCCCATTATTGTGGAAAATCGCAAAGATTTTTCCCATTAGGAAGAATGCTGTTGTGGCAGGTGTTGATGAATTTAGACCAATATCTATATTGCCAATTTTGTCTAAAATGGTTGAACATATTATGAAGATTCAGCTTTTGACTCATGTCGATAATATTAGAATTCTTCATGATTGTCAATCTGGTTTTATATGTAATAGGAGTACTACATCATTACTGATAGGCCTTACTGACAGCATCAGGAACAGCATTTCTAGCAAAGGTGTTTGCATTTTGCTGTCCTTGGATTTTTTTTTATTTTTTTTTTATTTTATTTATTCATAGTAATATAGAAAGCCACTCTTGAATATATAATATATATTACAAAGCAGTAATCCTGAATTTAATTACAATAAAAATAAAGATGTTTACAATTCTAAATAGTAGTGTTAATTAAAAAATTAACAAAAAGTTTTTATAAAAATTAATTAGAAAAAAACAATTTTGCTAGCGGTTCCCAAACCATCAAGGTAATGATTAACAAAAAAAATTATAACTTGAATCTTGTCCCAACAGTGATTCAAATGTCAACAATAAACTACTCGATAGGTAGTCCTTAGGTATGATATATAATTTTCATGTATATATTAGGGTGATCGATTATTCGACATTTTCCCAAAACCGGTTTTCGAATAGTTCGAATAGTTGACATTTAAAAAAAACCGGTTGATATTTTTCAAATTCAGAAAAAACCGGTTAACCGGTTTTTCATTACAATTAAAAAAAATATATTTTAATTTGAAAAACTTAATGTTTATGTTTAAATTTGATTAATAAAACATGGCCCGAAATGATTTTTAACAGTTTAAAAGATTATAACTTTAGATCTAGTCGTCTGATTTACATTATTTCTTCAATATATAAAAAAATTAGGAAAAAAGTGGGACACTTCTGTTAAACATGTAATCCTAGCTTATTTTAAAAGCCCTGTTTAGGAAATTTGCATAGGCATTCCAACACTTCCATAAAATTTCAGCCGTAAATTAATTATTGTAATTGGAATATAATGTTAAGATTGCTAAATTTTATCAAACAGTTATCCATTTTACAAATAATTTTAATTAATTAGGAAAATCAAAAAAGTTTAACCAAAAGAGCTGTAGAAAAATATACTCTAGTTCCTCGACTCGAATATTTTTAAAATTTAGACGGGCTGTATTATTATTTACTTAAAAATTTCATTTAAATAATCTTTGAATACAAAGCAAATAAAAGTATTCGAAACCGGGTTTTAAAAAGTGAAAAAACCGGGTTATTCGATATTCGAAAAATCAACATTAAGAAAAAACCGACACTGGTAAAGCAGAAAAAACCGGTTTTAAAACCGGTTTTAAAACCGGTTGAAAAATCGAGTCGATCACCCTAGTATATATTGAGAATTGGAATTAAGATAAATTATCTAAGGCTTTTGATAGAGTTAATCATTCACTTTTAGTTGATAAATTGCATTTCCATTATAGATTCTCCCGCTCAGCCTGTAAGTTGGTGTATTCTTATTTATCTGATAGAAGTCAATATGTTGTTTGCAGTGGTCGTGCTTCTAGAGTGCTTCCAGTTCATAGTGGGGTTCTTCAGGGATCTGTTCATGGGCCTCTTCTTTTTATAATGTTTATGAATGATCTATTCAGTACTATATCGAACAATATGTGTCTTCCATTTTCTTTTGCTGATGTGCAGTTGTTGTTTAAAGGCAGTGCTGAATTTCCTAATGTGTTACAGAATATGATAAATTATAATGTTGATTTGTTGCTTAACTGGATTTCTAATAATGACCTTATTATTAATACTGGTAAGACTAAGGCCTTGCTGTTTGGTAATTGTGGTGGTAATAACTTCTCAGTAACTTTGGGCAGTGATTCGATTGAGTTTGTAGATAGGATAAGGTATCTTGGTGTCATTCTGGATACAAACTTGAGTTTTGAAGGCCATATTAACTCAGTGGTATCCAGAGTTAATTTTGCTTTGCGTAAATTATACAATTTAGATTTGATGCTTCCTTTTTATATTAAGGAGAGGGTTGTCCATGGACTTATTATGCCTATTTTTTTATATGCCTTGGAAGTGTATAGTGGTACCTTGGGATATGTTGTAAAGAAGTTGAGATTGGCTTTTAATAGAGTGATACGATTCCTGTACTCTCTTAGAATACGGCAACATATTTCATCTTATGTTGTAAAATTTCTGGGACTTTCTTTTGAAGATTTTATAAAGTTTCGAAATTTGATACATTTTTATAAGTCTTATAAGTTGCAAACTCCAAAATATTTAGTTAACTTATTTGAATATTGTAGATCTAATAGAAATAGACAATTAAAAATTCCACCATTAACTGCCATATTAGAAAGATCATTTCAGGTTAGAGTGGCACGTTCTTATAATAAATTACCAAATTCTTTGAAAATATTTAATGTTTCTTTCGATACATACAAAAAAAAGGCTCTTCCGAGAATTATCCCAGAATAATTCTGTCC